AAGCAAATCCTAAAGAATCCCACTTGACTGTTGTCAAGAGGATACTGAGATATTTAAAGGGCACTACTGACCTTTGCCTTTGGTACCCTAAAGGTAGTAACTTTAATCTAGTAGGATATGTTGATGCTGACTTTGCAGGTTTCCTTGTGGATAGGAAAAGCACCTCAGGTATGGCTCATTTTCTTGGTTCATGTCTGGTATCATGGGCCACTAAAAAGCATAATTTAGTGGCCTAATCCACTACTGAGGCTGAGTATGTTGTTGTTACCTCTTGTTGTGCTCAACTACTGTGGATCAAACAGCAGCTGATGGATTTTGGCATTGAAGTTGGTTGCATCCCTATTTTTTGTGATAACACTAGTACTGTTAGTATGACTAAGAACCCAGTTCATCATAAGAGGACTAAGCACATAGATGTTAGACATCACTTCTTAAGGGAAAACTATGAGAAAGGATTGATTACTATAGAATTTTGTGCTACTGATAAGCAGATTGCTGACATCTTTACTAAAGCACTGAGTAAAGAAAGCTTTGAAAGGAACAGGTTAGAATTAGGGATGATTAAGATCACCTAATGGGATCAGCTCAGAATGCTCAATGAAAAAAAATGAAAACAAAAAATATTTTTGGCTAGGAAATCTAGAACTTGTGTAAATATCTATATTAATTTTTACTCAGTTTCATACTGTAAATAGTATACTCATGTGACATGTGTTGATATGACTCACTGATCTCTAACAAATTTCTTTACTTTGGAAAATAGAGGCATGATCAAGAGGATTCTAAATGAAGAACCTGGTTCATCAGTATTGGTTCATCTGAATAATGAGGTATGTTTTCTATACTCTGCACAATTAGAAATATAAATATTTAAATCATGAGCAGAGTCCTACCTATGTTCAAAAATATCAGAAAATCCTATCTGTTTATTATTTGAACCAGTTCCATCTCTACTAGAATTCTCACCACATAAATTGCCTAATATCTAGGGAAGCTTAACCGCTCATTCAACCTGAAATTTTAGGTTGATTGGACTTCTAATTGACTGCAAAAAGCTACCGTTAGTCATTAATTAAGTTTCTCTCTTTAAAACCCCATCATCACCTTTTGCCACCCTAATTATTCCAAAACCGTCAAAATTTCTTTCACTCTCATCTGTTCTCTCTTCCAAAAGCCAAACTCACAAATTCGCTCATAAAATCAGTCACAATGTCGAACCCTCAAGATAACCTAGGCACTCCTCAACAACCTACCTCTTTTGATTCCTCCACACCTCATCAACCTAGTACAACCCCCCCAGCCTAGGAGGAGACGTGTTAAGATGCTCGCTCGTAAAACTATGGCTACAAGTGCACTGTCAAAAAAGATTGAACGCATAATTGAAGGCTAGCCAAGCCCAAGAATCTGAACACTCAAACGATTCCTTCAAGTCTGCAAGTGAGGGGAATACAATCTTTTGATTCTGAAAAGATTCAGAGTTCCCCTTCTGAGGTACGTTTCGTTTTGGTTGAAAGTGTAGAAAATAGGTTTGTTCTTGTTGGGTCTGTTAGAAATATGAAAATGCCTGAGTTGAGAAGGAGAGGAGGTAAAAATAAAAAGGGATAATTTCACATAAATACAACTCACACACCTGACTTGCAACATAATAGCCTAGATACCACTTTGCAAATCTATAGCCCAAAAATAATAGGCTAATTCCTGAAAGACAGCTTATTTTACACAATCAACTACGGTTATTGCTCCCTCTTTATACAACTAGTTGTTTTCATACACTATTATGTGCAATTGCTGAAGCAATCCAACATGATAAAAGAAAAATAAAAACTTGGTAAATGAATTGTAGAATCCTTCCAACGCGTACAAAACTTTTTTATACAGCACATACACGAAAAAAGAAGAAGAGAAGGAAGTGTCAAACTTCCGTAGAGGCCTCTTACACACTAAAAATGTATATACATCCTTATAAACTGAAAAATATATAATTATACAACATTATACACAAATATACACATTTATACATAATTATACAATACTGTATAACTTGTATAAACATGTATAATAGTGTATAAGAGGTGTTTGTATATTCATATACACAATTATACATTATTATACAGTGTTTATACAAACTGCTACATAGTTATGATTTTTATCCAAGCCTCGAGTTGTAGTAGAAGGTATTGGATGATTCAACTCGTCTATAGGTTAGCAATTTTACGCCAATGATTTGGAATTCAACGCACAGATATGATACACCCAATTTTAGATTCGAGACTTCAAGGAGGACAACACGCATATCACGGGAATCAATAACTTGGAAATTATGGTTTCAAACTTCCGATTTAGCTTCCGAATCAATAACTTGGGAATCAATGATTTAGCTTCCAATCTTTTCTCCTCGGAGCTCGACCAGACATTGGAAATTAAGGTTTCAAACTTCAAAGATTCAGACCCAATTTCAAAAATCTTCAATATTCTTTTGCTTGCCACCATGGACGACGGAGTAGGAGCCCGAGCCTTCTTCTAGCCATTGATGGCAGAACTGCGTAGGGGGTAGGGGAGGGGGAATAGCGGGGTCTAGGTTAAGAGAGGATGGGAATCTATGTGGATTGGAAAGAAAGAAGCGAGAGGTGGTGAGAGAGAATTTTGTGTGCTGGAATGAAGAGAGAATAAAATAATAAAAACCCTAAAAGTATGTCTTTAATAATGGGCTAAAGGGTGAAAAGTTTCTTTCAAGTTATGTACAATATGGGCTAAATAGGGTAAGAGCTTTAAATCTGGGCCATTTTCGATTGGGTTGTTAGGACAAGTGACAAGGGCCGTAATTCTTTCAAATAAAAATGAAAAAGAAAAAGAGAGTGATGGTGCAAGCTGTGATGTGAGGGGAACAAGGATAGAAGTGGTTGATTCGTCACCCACCTCTGAGATGGTTAGACCAACAATTTGTAGGACTGAGGATAAAATTGTAGGAGAAAGTGGCAAAAAAACAAGGGGAAGTGGATCAGGGGAAGCTGCTGAGGGTTTGGTAAATTTAAGTTCTCATGTGGATGAACCCGGTTCATCTATTGAAGAAACCCTAGCAGACCTTATGAAGAAAGTAGGTGCCAATTATAATCCCAAGAAAAGAAGAACACCAACACCTAAAGTTCCCAGCACTACAAAGAATACCAAGAAAAGAAAAGCTTATTCCCCAACAACTGCTAAAATTCCCTTGCCAAAGGGGAGAGCCAAAAGAAGTATGGTGAAACAGAGTGAGAGTGAATTACAAAAGTCTTTGGTTAAAAGCAAGAAGAAAAGGATGGATAAAGGAAAAGCAAAGGTTGCAGAGTCCTCTGAGGCTGTTGATGTTGAGGAGATGGAACAGGTCCATCAGGAGGAACATACAACTGTGGAGGTTCAGACCCCCAAGCCCAAAAAGACCAAGACTTCATCCAAGAAGTCTTCATCTGTATCTGAGACTGTTGAACCTTCATTGGCCAAGAGGACAAGGTCTGTAGTGAAAAACAAACAATTTAGAATTACTAGGGAGGAAGAATGGAGTGGTGAAAAAGAGAATGAATCTGATGATGAACAAGACAAGCTGGCCAAGTTTGGCAAGAGAAAATTCTTGAAGGGTAGACTTCTGAAGGATTTGGTGGAACCAGGGATGGTTCGATTGGTTGATACTTTAGCTACTCAAGGCTGGAAGGACATGGTCCTTCAGTTGGATGGTAGGTTGGCCAGGAATAAGATCATTGAATTCATGGCCAATGCAGAGGTCAAGCATGGCAGAGTTACCAGCCAAGTGAAAGGGGTTCAAGTGGCCTTTGATGCAGAGAAGATGAGTGAGATTCTTGACATCCATAATGAGGGATATGATGACTACACAAGGCAAAGATGGCCAAGTTTGGACTCCCTTCCTACTGCCCTTGCAATCACCAGGAGATTCTGTGATGTCTCAGAAGTGAATGAGGCCAAAGTTGTTCATAAGAGTGAAATGAAACCACAATATAAAGTTCTGTTTGAATTTGTCAACAAGCGTTTGTTGCCTAGGCAGGAAAGAAGGCACATTGCTAACTATATGGACTTGGTGTTAATGGAGTGTCTTGAAAGTGGAAGGCAGATCAACTGGCCTGCATTTATTATCAAGCTACTGAATATGGTTATCAATGGCTCCAAAGCCCATGCTACTCCTTATGGGTTTATTCTGACTACTGTGCTTGATCGTTGTAAGGTGCCTTTGAAGAAGTGGAAAATGGCTACAAGCAAGGATCACTTTGGAATCAACTTTTTGATTGCTTGTGACTATGAGGTCACTGTCATTCACAATGAACCTGGTTCATCCAAGAAGACACCTATAAATAGCAAAGTCAGAGCTCTAGTGCAGGAGAGTGGGGCCAAGAATGCTGAGATAGCTAGCACTACAACAAATTCGATTATCAATGATGAATTATTTTGTCACCTAAAATTCATATTTTGTCACAAAAGACCTTTTGTGACAAAAACAATTTTTTCAATCTTTCGTCTATAAAACACCATCACTAATAATATACATAGACAACTTTATGTTTCCTCGCTAAATAGAGTTATATTAACTACGAAATTCTTTTTCGTCCCCAAAGTGATAGTATTTATGACAAACTTGTTCGTCATAAAAAGTATAAAAAATCGTAGTTAAAAGTGCACCTTCATCACTAAAAAAGTCATTAATGCTGACGAAATTACTTTGTCACTAACTATTTAGTTTCATTAGTGACAACATAAATTGTCTCTAAAGTTATATATATTTTGCAGTTGAACAATCACAATTCTGTCACTAAAAAATGCCTTTTATAGACAAAAAAGTATTTCGTCCCTAAATGTATAATTTAGCGACATATTTGCTTTTATAAATAAGGTTACAATTTTGTAGTAAAAAGTATCATCTCGTCACTAAAATATTAATTTTAGCGATAAAACAAAAATGTAAATATAAATCGTCATGATTAGTGACCATTACAATTCTCAAAAAAATACAAAGATAATTCAATAGTAAAAAAAAATACTGTATTACTGATGAGGCAATTTGGGACAAAGACTATTTTTTGTCGCATTTATGATGAACTAATATGTTCTACAATAAAAATGTGATTATCTTGAAAAGTACTATGCAATCTAATCAATGTTGTAACTTATTTCTCTTTTGTGAGTTCCTTCCACTTGTTTTCTCTTTGATGGAATTGCCTTGACTGACGTCCATTTACCAACTAGGATCTCTAAAATCATCTTTCTCCTAAAAACTTCTTTATTTCTCTGAGACCTTTATCTAGCTTTTGCACAACCTTCCTTGATTTAAGTTGAATCTGCATCTATTTATAAAAAAAATCAATTCAAAATACTATTTATAATGCAAAAAAATATGGATCATATATATTAGTAGTAATTTCTAAATTACAATTGAACTTTATCATTACAACTGTAACACAAGTGAAAGTTTACCAATTCTTAGTATATCGTCACAATTTACATCCACAAACTACTCTATTTGGCAGCATAAACTCTATCCATATTTTCTTAACTACTAACTATAAGAATGAAAGGTAATCTTTGTAGGCTTTCTCATATTAGAATCAAACCTGACATGAATTAAAAGAGCAATTATATATAGTATTATTTTTATCCTCGTTCATTCAATTCACTGATAGAAAAAAAGAAGATAGAAGTTTCAGAAAACAAAAGGCACTCACTTGTGTAACATACACCTGTGATTAAGATAACACATATTAAGCAGTCAAATGGCCTTTTCTATCAAGAAGCTAGCAGGCAATTGCTTGTGAATTCAAGTCTTCTTTCCTGACTCATTTATGCATGACACCATTGAAATATTATACTAGTCCGTGAATGATGTTGTCTATAATGTTAATACCTAACATTTCAATTCTTATTTACTGTCCCAAGGGTTCACTGTAATTTCAGGAAGACAGTTTCAGATTTTACCAACTCTATTCTTTGTATACAAACATCAAATGAGCAAAACACAAAGAGCCTGTCACTAAAGATGTAGCAAATGTAGTTTTAGTTGGGTTTCATCATTTTTTTTCTTTTTCTTTCTAAGTGAAAATAGCTAAATTATTTCCATCAATCCGAAGGTCAAAAAGACATATGAACACATCCAGCTTTCAAAATTAGGAGAAAGAAAAAGAAATAGAATTTTGTTGATCCCTTACAACAGTTATCAGTTTTAAAGGCATTGGAAATATTTCAGTGCTATTTCTATGCCTTCTCTTCTACTTATAATAGCAACTACATGTATTTAGCAATTATTTGATGATTATATATTTATAAAATCTAATCAATCCTTCAATCATGGATATTATATCAAATTAAATACAATAATCTATAAAATGGTAAGTTGTATTAAATATACCTGATTTACTCGAGAGTTGAAAAAATTAGGTGGCAGTTGACCGCAAAGTGTTGAACAAGAAAACAGATTTGTTGGAAGCTGATAATAAAGAACAACATAACGATTAGAAAATGGAAATCAACAGTAGTTGGAAGCTGATAATAAATTTACTAATCACATTCATTCTCAATATGTCCATAGGTCAGTTCCATAAACAAACATCACAAGATATACTGGAATTCACGAAAACATAAAGGAACTTTCAGATTAAAAAAATGACATAGCAGATAGATAAACAATACTAAAGTGCTTTATCGAGTGGGATATAAAATTTTAACAGAATTCAATTGGACCTATTTGACTTCAATTTTAATACATTGAAATTAGCTACACAAGGTGAACAAAGGTGGCAGAAGGTCTACATCTCTACAATAAGAACTTCATTCACTTTTATGTGTCCCAAACAAAAGCTTGTCAAGTTCAATAGAAGTTGCCTAAATTCAGAGAATTTGGTGGGAAAATAAAATTCTACACCAGATGACTGCATCATCCAAGGACATTAACTTGAAAATCCGCATCACCATACACAAGAGACCATTAAAAGTAAACTATGCTTTTTGTTACCAAGAAATGCATAACCTTAGGTTTTCCATACCAACATAGATGTCGAACATGTATGTTTATACTTATAATACTGCACAACACAAGATACAAGCATTCTTGTAATATTATCTATACCACAAGTAAGGAAAATAGTTTTGCACATTGCTTAAACCGAAGTACTAAGATAGTCCACTAAAGAGCTTTCAGAATACATTTGAAATGAAGAAATAAAGAAACTTCAAAGAAATGAATCAAAGACCAATATTATGTACTGCCAATGTTCTACAACAATTTGATCAACTTCTATACGAATCTGAATAGGAATTCATCTCCAAGTTCATATTTAGAGCTTACCTCTAATAGAGTTCCTGAGAGTGTCACTAAATCCTTACTCTTCCCAATAAATATGTCATTGAAGATGAATCTAGTAGGGTATTAGAAACATATAAACACGATCAAAGAGCAAAGACCAACTTGGAAACAAGTCATCAACCTCCAAACATTACTCTAATATACTGAAACTCGTATTGCATATGCTAACGGAGGGAGTGTACCCATGAGAATTAGGACAGAACTTGTTATTCTCCAAAATGTAACCTACCAGTAGAACAACTGAAACTTAAATAAAACTAGCTTAGAGTTTCAAGCCCTAATTTTTGGTTTGATGGAATGGTAACCCTCTAATGGAGCACTGGAAGAATTTAATTGAACAAGATAACTAGTCAAGAGAATAATATACTAGGAGTATTGATGAAAGTAGAAAGGAATCTCACTTGAAGGAAAAGAGAAACATGACTATCGTGAAAATGGCGTCAAAGGGATCTATACCGCGAAGCTCTATCATTTTTTTGATACCCTCCAAAGCAGTTTATGTCGCAGCCTACTTATACTTTGAAAAAAGTCGGTCCTTTTTATATTGAAACGCATATTGGAAATATTAATTTTGATATTAAACAGATGATTTATTCTGAGAATTCTCAGATCTAGCATTCTAAGTCATTAAGTTCTTGTCTCCAGGGACGACGCATTCAAATTGCGGAAAGTCCTAAGCTCTGTATGTTTACATGAGAAATCAACACCCTAAGCTTGAATGACTGTAACTGGAGAGAGTTGAAGAAGCTTACCATTTCAAACCCTAATGTCGATTGAGGGAAGGCCGATTATCGTTCCTGTCCTACTTAGTAGCTCTGAAGCATTGAAATTTGGGAAGTTTGGAACAAAAAAAGGAGGGGTTAGGCCAAAAGAGGAAAACGAGGAACATTTTGTCGCCTAAGCTTTTTGTGAAAAAATGAAAAATGATTATAGGGCAGAAACCAAATAAGTTATTGAGAAAATTAGATATTTTGTCAATAATAGAAATATTGGCCAACAACGGAAACATATTATTGCCAATTTACTTAATATTTTAAGTTTATTATAATACCACACAAATAGGGTGACAAGATCAAAATATTTAGCAATAAGAAAAAACTTATTGGTAAAATTTTTATTATGTACCAAAAACTAAACAAAGTTGTTGCCAATTACTAGTATTTAGCAATAAAATAATTGTTGTTGCTAAAATATTGTTGCAATTTCTACACTTTCTTGTTAATGATCGTGATCGTAACCTGGGGCGGAGCTAGAGTGTTACGAGTGGATTCGCCAAACCCAATAGTTTTAGTTCGAACTCTGTATTTATCTTTAAAAATTTATGAAATATATATAAGTTATTAATTGGGATAATTTCACATAAGTACAGCCCACATAGGTGCTCTTCATCCGCATAGCCACCATTTTTGTCACGACCCCAACCCCCGGTCGTGATGGCGCCCAACACACTACTAGGCAAGCCTGACCAATAAAGAACCTTAACCCATTTCTCATGCAGTTCATTACTAGCCGTCACAGTTAGTTTACCATATCATCATATTAGAAGTCTGAAGTAAGAGTTAAACATGCGGAATTTCAAATAATAATCCTACTACATAGCCCATATAGATTCGGTGTCACAAGTCTGAGCCTTTAATATAGGTTTAACTGCCTAATACATATCAATCTAGGGAATGCGGATAAAACAAAAGGATAGAAGGGAGATATCAGGGTTGTGGACGCCATGCAGCTACCTTGATGCTCCCGGATATACGCTGCTCAACTGAAGAATCCTCACTCAGCCTCAGATGCACCTGGATCTGCACGCAAGGTGCAGGGAGTAATGTGAGTACTCCGACACAGTGAGGAATAAACATAAATAATGGCTGAGAATAAGAAATCACGGAAGAACACAGAGTAATCTATAATCCGGCAGTGTAAAACAAGTAATATGGAAGCGATAGACCAATGTAATCGAAATATGAAAGATACTACAACAGA